TTATGTTTTTTTTTGTTATCTATACCTATCTATCTTCTTGTAATATCTATGTATATATTGTATAATTTAATAACTATAATTCTATGAACTGCTCAAGAATTTAAAATACTTTCGCCAATGCACAACGGAAACCTTCTTTTGGGCGCTTCGTATTTATTTACCACCATTTACTGTTAGCAATAGTTGTATTCAAACTCTACTTATATGTTTGGTGAATAAATTGTATTGTATTAAGTGAGAAATTTTCTTGAAGTTCCGCAGTCTGGGTTCCGCAAAAAACACGGAACATAGACTGCCCTCTTGAAAGTAATCGACAATCTTGCGAAATTCAGAGATCAATCAAAAGTCACAATTTCAGTACTGCTTAGTCAAAATAAAGCTTTCGATTTACTCATCAGCAAGCTCAAGTTCATAGGATTCGATGACTTTTCTCCTAAATGGATGACCAGCTATCTCACAGGCCGATCACAAAGGGTTAAACTTACTTCTAAGGTCTGAAACAATTCCAATCAAAACCCAATATCAGTAAGTTCGGTAGTGACCAAAGTTTCAACAATAATTTTATCAGTCACTTGAAAAGGTAGATCATAATAATCAAGTACTTCACACTCGTTTCCGTTTGCGATAGTGCATGATTTCGTTACAGATCTATTCAGTTTCAGCCCCAAATCCTTAATCATTACATTACGCTAATGAACCAGAGTCCAGTAAACCGTTAACCCTTCGGTGGGCGCGCTTGCTGAACCTACATGAGTGGGCGCGTTGCGGCTTTTTGCCGCACTTCATACTTTTATCAAATCATTAATATATCAGTCATATTTGGGATCGGAAGTATATTCTTGTTAAAAGGCATGAAAACCACACAGAAACATATTTATTATACATGCAGAAAATGATATGAAACACAAAAATAGTGTGAATAAAAATTGATCAATCAATCTCCATTTGCTCATCGTTCTTACAAATGAAACATGTCATATTAGCATGTTTTTTACACATATTTCCACCACATTTCAAGCAAATGAGTTTTGTTCTGTTATTTCTATGCTTCACACATAAATAACTTATACCAGGTTTTGCTTCTTCTGTAAGATGCTCGTCATTGTCCCGATACTTCGCCAAGAAGCATTGAATAGCTTTGGGAAGAGACTGAATTAGAGCTCTTTCTTTTAAGAGTTCCTCCATCAGACAAATAGAAAGTATTTTTAGAAAAACACGTCTCCTATCCTTATTTTCGAAATTATTGAACTTGAAGATGACGAATGCATTGATTTCAGTAATATCTAAATGTCTATAGAATAAAGCCAAAGGCCATCGTCTTGTGATTCTGGAAGTGCCGTAGGATGCGCACATTTGATCCACAGTGTCGACACCTCCCTTTGTAGCATTGTAATCCAAATTGACCAGGGACTTTCTAGTGTCTTCATCAATTTCCGATGAACTATGCATCGTTGAAAGGAATATCACAGCCTTAGATTTTTTAGGAATGGTTGAAACCAAACAGAAGTTGTATTGAAAACCAAAAATAGTCGAACATACTTCTCTGTTGCGGTTTGGTAAGAATTCTGGTGGTATTTTCTTCTTGTTTTTTTTTCATTGTTCCAAGGAAAGTGAGCTTTTTCGTCAACAGATATTCTGCCAATGGATAGCTGCTGTTGTAATTATCTGTGGTAAATTTTCTTTTCGTGTTCTCAATGGGCACGATCAATCTCTTCACAACGTCAATACTTTTGTTAGATGTAACGAAAGGTCCGGAAACTTGCTTTCCTCAATATATTTCAAAGTTCAGAGTATAGAAGGTTTTTGCATCACAAAGTGCATATAACTTGATGCCATATTTTGCTGGCTTGTTGGGAATATATTGCTCGAATCCAATATATATTTCTTTGTCATTCATTTTTGGCCCAGGGAGAATGTTCACTACGTTTGTTGCCTGTGTTTTACCTGCAGCGAGAGGCTTATCGATCCAAATAGTTTCACCGTTTTTATACCTATATAAAATCGGTAATCGTCTCTGATTTGCAAATTTGTTTCATCCTCATGTATGTCATAATATATTTCATCTTCTCCGGATTGCTCTGAGTCACTGTTGTGATCATCTTCTTCAAAAATCTCCTCGTCTGGTTCCGAATCACTATCACTAGGGTTTTCATTGTTCTCTAGTTTCCTTTCTTCCGATAACTCTCTCAAAAAAGCGAGAAGAGCTCTCTCTAACTCTTCTTCATTCAAAATTTTCCGAAACCTGAGAAAACGAGAAGTACGAATAAAACAACATGTCAACATGTCAACATTAGGGGTATTTTGAATGAAACATTGTGACTGAAATATTATAGATAAAGTGTTACTCACATGGTGATGCTATTTATTGGAGAATAGATAATGAGAAACATGAGAGGGCGCGTTGCGGCAGATAGCCGCAGGTAATACTCTCCTTCACTAAAGGTATATCAGCAACTGAACCATGGTCGCCTGGAATCAGTGTTGCCAACTGGATGAACTATAAAGTCGCTACACATGAACCAAAATTCCGCTACACTGCTTTATATTCCGCTACACTTGTATATCTGACGAAATAAATTCGCGCGTGTGCCCTATTCGAAATTAAATTCCACAGAACTTACAGTTTGTGAACCGTTTAGATAACACAAAACTGAACTGCCACTAATGTCAGGAATCAGGATCATGCTAATTTTCAACCGCGCAACTCAGAAGATGGTACCTAAATTTAATATAAATAAATAAATTTACAGCAGTTAAGTTTTGAAAGTTGTCGTCTCGATCAAATATTTCTTAGATTGTAATAATGAATTTGAAAAGTAAAAAGAAATATCAATTTGTTCACGTACGTATAGTTATATTGAGCTCTTGAACGATCATTCGCGACAAGTCTACTCCATCCTTTCAAGTTAGAATCAGACAACCGATGTTGAGAAAAAGTTTGTTTTTGAGACTTTTGTATTTTTTTTAAATGTCCCGTTCCCATCAATTTCAACTGCGGCAGCTCTTTCGCTCGAGCTACAATCAGATGAACTATCTTTCACTTCCACTGACATTTTTTCCACATAATTCATAATACTCGAGACAGTCGAGACTATTAGTTCCAAGATATTGGAGATTTTATAGTTTATGATAGTAATGAAAATATCAAAATTCATTCTTCTTATCTTTCATCATGTAATGGCTTCGGCTACTAAGACTATAATGTATTGACTGTGCATTCAATTGTCAGCTGTCAGCTTCGAGTGCTGTGCACTGCCTCTTCTTCTTCTTCCTTATTTTTTCAATATTGATTATTTGTAGAAAATTCCGCTACTTTATGTTTATATCCGCTACGCCGATACCGCCGAGTAAATTCCGCCACGGTAGCGGAAATCCGCTACGGTTGGCAACTCTGCCTAGAACGTCCAATTTATCGAACGTGGTATAGGAAATGTGAGTAAGGAATACATGCGTATACAGCACGACAGGTTGAGCGGCATCTCTGATACAAAGTCGAATGTAAAATTTGCGGCAGATTGCCGCCGGCGCGCCCACCGAAGGGTTAAAAGAATACCTAAGATTTTTACTTTGAGATAAGGTCTCTCATCTCATTTGATATTGGAAAGAATGTAATCCAACTCATATTTCACACGTACATAATCGGTGTTATTGGAAGTGACCGCGTGACTTGACCCTGAGTTTATGATGCAGCCTTCTCGCAACTCGCCCCTACGTTACCCGGATAACGGGAATATTTTTCGTCTACTGGTACATCCTGCTGGGATTTCCGCAGTGGTGACATCTAATAACCTTTGGTAGTTGACAATTCATTGAGATGTGTCACAATTTTCTATAATTGAAACATATGGTGTTTTGCATTGATCTGTCTCCTTGATGAAAAGCTGCTAGTTTGAACGCCGAGTACGATTCTTTGCCAACATTATCTTCTGAGTCTGGTTCAAGTTCAGTTCCGATCGCATTCCGTGCGGTGCCTCCTGGAATTATACATGAATTCCGTTTCAGTGACAAAATTTATATTTGTTGAAGGCTGTCTCATTCTTTGCGATCTCATTTGAATATCCTCAATCCATTTACCCAGTTTCAAAAGTTAAAAAAGCCTCTAGATAGGACCTAACGGCAGCCTAGCTTGTATAATGGGTAACATGCGCTCTCGGATGAGTCTTACTCTTTCTGGTTCTGATGGTTTCTCTTGCAACTTACCGAAAAGGCTTTCCATATTGATAATGTAAGTTACCACTTCTTCGTGTTGACCCTGAGTACGATTCCTGATATCATTCCAGATGTCTTCATAATATTTTGATAGGTATAATTTTCTCAAATGGTAAATGATATCTTCCCAAGAATACACATTTTCAGTATTCGTTCTGAACCAATGAAGATGTGTACCTCTCTGAAGTATTGAAGTAAATTTTATGAGTTGACTCTTAGGAATATTACAGGCACTACTCAATTCTTTAACTCTAACTATCAAGTTTGTGACGCTCATGTTCTAACCATCAAAATATGGATTCCAGTTGGAAACGGAGTTGAAGATTCTAGCGGTTGCATCTTCCTCCGTGCTACCATTACACCTTAGACTTTCTTGGCCTAATCGCGATTGTAGAATATTATTATTTCTGGCATTATACCTGCCGTTATGGAATGTGTTATCATTTCTCATTCTGCTGGCATCCTATTATCACGCATCTCTGTATGATTGTCAATTTTGGCTCTGCCATCCTCGACTCTTCTTATGTAGTCATCGAATCTTGGATTTTCCAAACCTGAAACGTTTCCGTAGTAACCCCTTTCGTTGCCGTTTCGATTCTTCTATAACTAACTTCACGAACAATCAAATACCAAGTTTGCACCGGTTTCTCCAATAAATGTACATCTTCAAGATTTTCTTTAACCTTTTTCCTTCGTTCCAGTTGGACGTTCTCGTTTTCCAGTTTCATGTTTTCTAATTTTTCACATAATTTTGTACTTTCTTCAAGAAGATTTTCCTTTCTTTTCTGAGCACATTCAGCCGTTATTCGACTGAGTTGATTCGAGACATGTAATAGTCTGGACATGATACGACTTTTTTGGTATTTTGCCTTGTTCTCATCAACGTTATCCAACTTGTCACAAAGGTCCGTTAGTTCGAATTCATAGTGGCAGAAATATTCATTATATGTGGAATGATACAAATGAACATTTACATAGGGAAACCGATTCCCAAGAAAGGTTCGGAATTAATGTTTGGTTGGGAAATATGGGAACAAACATCCTTGGCCCTTATTTTACGATGGTCATTTGAATAGTGAAATGTATCTTTATTTCATATTCAATGAATTCGATGGCTACTTAGATGAATTGCCACTGAATATTCGCCATGAAATACAATATTTTCAACAGGACGGCGCTTCTTTCCATAATGCAGCAATTGCAAGGAAACATTTAGATTTTTGTGTCTGGGGATAAATAAAGGATAAAGTTTTTCAACAACAAGTACATATATCCACCATCTCAAATAAAAAATAAGAGATGCATGAATGAGTATTACACCTATTATGCTAGAAATTAGAAATAAAAAAATCAAACCCATCAAACACACTTTGTCGCTATATAAAACATTGGATACAAAAACACACTGATTATAACGTATTCAAAAACACTTCATTGAGATATTTTCACTTAACAGTTATACAAAAACGCAAAACGTGTTTCGCCATACAATGGCCTATTTCGGCGTGTCTTTACTATCTATATTCTACATATTCAATGCTCAATTCACTTAATTTTACAATTTGAGGTACCTACATTCCAAGTACCTAAGTTGTAATGAATTAAATTACCTGAGCTTATATCCCAGTTTTCACATTTGAAAAAATATTTAGTAACGGGAAGTTATTCAATCCTGATTGATCATTCTGAATGTAATACGTCGTATTCATGATGAAACTCATTTCCTTCTGCTGAAAGGTGGTTTGCAAATGTGAAATTGGTCTGTTTATTCACTAAACTACTTCTATGTTCTTTAATTCTTTGGGAAAATGTACTTCCTGTTTGGCCAATATACATTCTTGTTCAAGATTCACAAGTCAGCTCATATACTCTTGATCTGGCCGACACACATTTTGTAAGCTACGTTCACGCATTCTTTCTTGAAAAAAACAATGATATTGCCAGTTTTTTGAACAATAAATGCGTAAACGTAGCTTGGCAGAACGAATAATAGTCTAAATAAGCTTATTAAAAACAATAAAGACAAAACTTCGGTGTCTGATAGATCAGGAGTATATATATGCTGAATTGTGACTCTTGTCCAAAAATGTGTATTGGCCAACCAGGGAGATTATTTTCCCAAAGAAATAAAGAGCAAAGAAGTAGTTTTCATGAATACGACGTATTACATTTATGAGAGGAAAGTTTGAAACTCTTTTTTTTGGAATGTTTAGAAATTAATAGATTAAAAAATTTGGATA